AATATTATAGTTACAAAATATATTAATATATTGTAATACAATATATTAATATTATGTTATGAATAATAGAAGTAAATTAGTAAATAAATAATATATGACTTAGTGTGTTCAACATAAAACTTCTCACTGTAAACAAACATTACTTTGTAATAGGTTTTGATCTTATTTTTTCACGCCAGATCTCATATCGAGATAAATTATAAAAAGAACATCATCTTATGTTACATCACAATCGCTATAAAAAAGATAACGTATCAAATTATATTTCTCGTTTTTGAAATGACGATACGCGCAATTACAATAAAAACTTTAACACACTTCAGATTCTAATCAGTCTGCCATTTTCTAACGCACAATTTTTGAGACAGATCGCATATAAACTAATGAACCCCTCAGTCTATATACACAAATCGAATTCGCGCGCAAAATGACTTGTATCGTTAAACATCAGAAATTATTTATCAAAGATTGCCGGACAGTGAGAGATCGTTCGCTTGACGACTCATGTTGTGCATCAATTTACGGAGCTCGGATGTAATCGAATGAAAGGGCGTGATCAAGTGCGATGAGTACGGAGATGTCGCGGAAACGACGGTGTGTCTTTTTCGTCTCTTTGGACAGGATTTTTTGGCGATGTGACGATCGCGGTTACTCTTCTGACTGAAGCCGTGTTTGCAGTTCGGGCAGAAATACAACGGTTCTTTGCCGCCGCATTCGAACTTCTCGTGACGTGTCAGACTACTGTTATATTTGTAACTTTTGTTGCATAGTTTGCAAGTGAAGCGCTTCTTGAAAGAAGTAGAACCTGAAATTTCAAAAACAGAAATCGATCGATTAATTAAGCTGAATCTCGAACGGAAAGAGGTGGAGGAAAGAAGCGTGCGAAGGTCTTAAAAAGCGTTGAATCTTCGAAGCCTGCGATGATCCCTAGCGCATATACTTGCGCCTCGATTAATATGTGTGAGAGGATATCGCGTTAAAAATATATATCTGCCCCCGTTCGTTCGTTCATGTGATGCGTATTATAGCATAATGCGAAAGTTACTTTGAAAAACAAGCAATCGGTAGATAATACCGACGATCTTCTGAGAGATCTTCCACGGAATCTTGTTCCTGACGGAAACTGCTGAAATCTTTAAATAGAAAATAACGGCACACAATAACGCGATTGAAATATTGCAATATATCTGCCTTCTTTTTTTTTACAATTCTCCGTTCGTGAATTTCTAGAAAGTAGATTCGTTGTTTTTTATACGTACATATTGCGAAAATAAAAATCACTTGTGATCGTAATCATCATGTATGAAAACAATCTTCGAACGTTTTTCAACTGATCTTCTGAGTCGTTTTGCAAAATAACCAACTTTTGGATGACGTAAAGCGCAAATGACTGGCAAACACTTAAAATTGCAAATTTGATAGAAAAACATAAAATTGTGTTACATTATTGTGCATTTAATGATTCAAGCAGTTCAAATGGGATAATTACACATGTGTGAAAAAGAAAGGAAAGAGAGGTCAATGAGATTTTAGTAAAATAATTCCTGAAAAAAGAATCAAAATTCAACAAAGTTTTCAGCGATAAATTGTTTAGTAAAATTCGCGCGAGAAATAAAAAAAGGGTACAGAAAAAGAAGATGTAGATAATTAAATTTTTAATTGTATTTTAACACAATATGTGTGTGAACACACGTTTTTCTAATTTTTAACTTGCTGCTTAGATCTTCATACTGAAAAAATAGCTTTCTGTATCTTGATAGGTGAACGATGTCTCTGATAATGTGCACTTTCTTCTCTTCTAAACACCGTGTTTTTTTTTATCTTTTCCATTTTATACATTTGTACGAAAACACATTTTTACACAACAAATGTTTTTTTTTTTTTTTTTTTTCTATATAATTGTGACGATTTAGTTTTCTCACAAACTTCTTTCTTCATCTCCAAATTTCATCTTCTCTCTTCGCCTGGTTGTTACATTCTTCGATGCTGAGTTTTCATATGCCTCTTATAACTGCAGTGCTGTTTGAATTTTGTTTCGCATAGCTTGCAATCGTATTTCGGCGGTTTACCGCATTCGTCGCGCACGTGTCGCCTCAGAGAGACCTTCCACGCGTATCTATTGCCACAGCGGTGACAGACAAATGGTTTCGCCGCTTCGCCGATGATCGTTGTATATCTGATAACTGGAAATGACAAAGAGACAGTCAGTTTATTGGTCGTAAGAATTAAGATTTGTCTAACAATTAATCTCGAAATCTATCACAAAATTTTTCTATTTTTTTTTTATGTTAAACAAACGTTCACCGGTCGATGTTTGCTTAATTTTTTTCTCCGATTTCTCTTTCATCTTCATTCTCTTTTTCTGTCGGCAAATAAACATTCATCCAAGAAAACGGTTTTGTTAAGAAAAGTTTTCGAGAAAATGTGTTTAAAAAAAAAAAGCACAAGAAAAAAACCTGTTAAAAAGCTTCGACATCCTTCACCGTAAATAAATTATTAATCACATGAATGGAACACACTGATTCATTCGAAACTTATTATGTAAGTTATATTATCTCACAAGATTCTTGCCAATTCGTTTAATTTTTTAAAGTGTGTTATTTACAAAAGTGTTTTTGACTTTGACATCTCACTGCACTGTTAGAGCTTTGTTATGACATCGCATGTTAAGTAACGATCAGGTGCAATTCAGTGAATTTTATTTCTGTTCAAGCACGAAGTGTTGAATTACTAAACGGGTAATTTATTTAATTACATCACAATAAAAATAATCTTTTAAAATGGAATACTATCTGTTTATATCTTCAGTCTTTCGACAACGTTGTTCGATATTATTGATGAATATATGAGACAAATGTATATTACGGACATTATACGCGCAGTTCGTTGCGATTGATACTTGAATGATACTTGAATGACAAACTATTAAACAGAATTACGTCATTTTTACACCACAGTCGCGCCGCGATCGTAAATCACAAATCTTTCTTTTAACTAACGAGAATTTGAAGGTTTATTCTTGTACACAGCTCTGCCGTTGTTCATGTTCGTGCAAAGACCGGTCTTCTTCTGACACCTGAAAAAGACAATCGATCGGTTAGCTCCGTTGTTTCTTTTTTCTTTTTGTTCGACTTACCGCCATCGCGACACGATGACAAAATCGGCCAGAATTATCGTTGCGCGAAGACACGTTGTAAACAGCAATCTTCTCGATGACGGGTTTAAAATTCTATCTGCGAAGGAATCGAGCAAATCGCATTGTTACACACACACACATGAACACATTACGAGATATGTGTAAACACACAATGCGAAGTTACTTAAATATTATATATAGTATACTATCGCAACATAGTATACTATCGCTTATATATATTTTTATTATCTTTGATTATATATTCTGTCACATTATTTATTATTATGATACTTACAAAATTTTTCTATAATAATTCAATCATTAAAAATAAAATAATTATATAATACATTATATGATACAAAAAAACAATAATAAGACATTTAATTAACAATCAGATTTTCAATTAAATCGTACGTATGACAAGTGGACATGTCGCACGTTTAATGCTCATTTTCTCGAGAAAGAGAGAATACTGGCGAAGAATGAGGTGTCTTCTCATTCGAAGAAGTTCGGGGAGTGACAAAGGGGATGTTTCCTCGCTATGTGTCTTATCAGATGATGCTTGTACATGAAACGGTTGTCGCATATGTCGCAGCCGAACTTGCGCGGTTGTCCGCACTCGTAGTTTTTATGATTGCTGAGCGATCGCTTTGACAAATACAACTTGCCGCAAGTGGCGCACGCATATTTTATCGTTCCATTTTCGTCTACCATATTCCATGACAGTCCTGTGCTATGCACGAAGGTCGAGAAAAAACCTGCAAACGAAAAAAGTAGAATACAGTTAGAAGCGGTCGTGTGCGATTGACAACATGATGATGCCATGAAAGTTGTTGACAATTTCATTCGGGAATGATGGAGATATGTATCTAAAAATTTTCTATACAGAGACAACAATTGTAAAAAACTTTTATTGAGCAATCAATATCACAATCATCAAGTATGTAATTTTAAACAATGCAGCGATGTTTAATCCTTCGACTGCGAACACCACAAATCTACAGTTTATGAAGAAATGTTGCGCATAACATTTTTTGCTAATAAACTTTAAGGTGTTGAGTAAGACAACGATAGAGCAGCACAAACACGTCAAATTTACATTTGTTTTTCGAAAATTGGACGCCAGATACTCAGAGCGTACCATTAAAGTCGCAAGTATTAAACAAAATAAATTTTGGAGACACGACTTCCCGAATCTTTATAAAACGCTTTACAAACTAAACAAGTGACTGGCGCCGGAAGGGTGTCACGTCACAACATATATACGTACAGTATTTTATAACTATACATACATGTATATAGTGAATACTATAAACATATAATATGTACTA